AAACTCTAATCTGCATCTTAGTTCCAAAAACTGGACACAGATCTCCCGAACGAGTTTTCTTAGAGATTAGTTGCCTCCACTCATTCGTTGGTCAAATCCAAGCAAACGTTACAAGGTGGCCCCACGAATTCCGCAACAAAATTCCCTTTTTCCATCGACGCAAAGCGAAATTCTACAAACAACACATACTACTCGCCTGCCTCCCGATCAGTAGTATCACCGTTGCACGGGTATGTGGTAGTATGCTCTTACGATATCGAGTTTGGAGATGTTTGTATGGCGTAGGGTACTTGCGAAATCGTGGATACGTGAGATGGGATACCTGCCTGGGATAGTAGCGGTGTTGGGAGAACGGTAATCTCCACAGGGTCTCCAATCACCTTTAGATTTCTTAGGTACCATATGTAGCGGTGATGACCAATCACTCGATGATGGGCGGATGATGCCGAGTTCGAGCATGTGTTCGAACTCGTGTTTTGCGATTTGTAACTTATCCGGATGAAGTCGGCGGGGGTTGGCATGGACAGGTGGACCTCTCGTCTGAATGTGGTGAACGACCGAATGAGTGACCGGATGGGTGTACTGACATAGGTGAGTAAGGGTTGGAAAATCCCTAAGTATGTCAGCAAAATGTGAATCCGGTAAGATAACTCGGATAACTGTGGATTAAGTTGGGGCACTAATTCCGTTGACCGAGGGGGAAAGAAGCGTGTCTAAGAGACGTTTGTGTCGCACGTTGACAGATAGATTGTAATGGGTCAGGAAATCTGCACCGATGATGGGTGTTTGGACGTCGGCCAAAAGGAAGATCCACTTGAACGCGCGTCGCAATCCAAGGTCAAAGGTAAGGGAACGTTCGCCGTATGTACCGATGCGGGTACCGTTAGCGGCTTGTAAGGAGAAAAAAGCAGAATCGGGAAGTAGAATCTTATATGGTAGCACACTAACTTCAGTTCCCTTATCTACGAGGAAAGTAGACCACTTGAACGATCGGTGATGTGGAACAGGTGACTAGTGCGAGGAGGGCCACAGACAATCGTCGCCGTTACCGACTGGCCGGGGTGTTTAAAGGGGTGTTGGAGCGCTGCTTAAAGGAACAAGGTGGTTGACATTTGCGTGCTTTTGGGCCATAAGATTGGTGATACCAGCACCAAGAGGGACGGGCACGAGACAACGACCTGGATCGTGAACGTGGTCGATGCCTGTTGATCTCTAACCGTTGTAGACAATCGGTCAAAGCATCAAACTTGGCTTGTAGGTGCGATATAGAACCAAAAAGCGGGTCGGAATCTGTAGTGGGCGCATGGAGGGAGACGAAGTTTACGGGGTTACTGGGGTATGTTTCGTGTATCTTATCCGCCATTTGGGCTAGCTGCTCCAAGCTGTGGTCATCAACGAAAGCGCTGATGACGTGGAACATGGAGGGTGGAAGTTTGTCGAGCCGGCCATAGTTGGGCCATGATTTCCACCGCTAGCTTACGGCCGCAGAGGAGACTACGCATGTGGCGAAGCATTTGTGATGGCGATCTGTCCCCAAGTTCGACAGTGGTGAATAGACCCCGTAGCATTTCGTTTCCTGATTTCCCTGTCCTACTTATGACGGCCGCTCGAAGGGGGTCATACGGCTTTTGCTTAGGAATGAGACTCGCGAATGACCGCTGCAAGCGCGAGCGAAATCAGAAGAGAGAGTCGAAGCACGGACCACACTTGTATTATGTGAAATTGTACAAGTGCGCGTTTAGTAGTTTTTCGTATTCAAACAAAAAACGATTATGCAATTGATGAAATACGTAACGTTATAATGGAAGTGAAATAAAGGTACAAAGCTCCACACCCCTCCCGGAAAGCATCCGTCTTGTACACCGATGCATCAATCCGAGGTATATCTTACGCTTGCGTTAGAAGCAGGAAACATCAGAACCACCGAAATATTTCCACCCACAATTTTCACAAGAACAAGAAGTCACACTCACAAACCGTAGGCCTTGTGCTCAGAAGAGCTCCCATTGTATGGAACGAGACTCCACTACCTATATTTAAGGATGTCATATGCATCCTGTTCAACTCTCTGTCGGAAGAGTGACCAGTTACACCCATTAAGATAGTACCAAGAGAGAAGCCTCATCAGTGCCAACGCCCAGAATGCGAATAGGAAAAGAACATGGAACATTTCACCGCCCTCCAACAGTCAGACTCAGAATACACATCCGCGTATGTACGTGGTTAAAATTAGTAATCGCCTCAGCACATTTACCTGTCTGATCGCAAAACTGGGCCACCGCACCCCATGTTTTGGAGCTGAAACACTTAATTTAACCCGCGCGAGTGAATACGGGTTGGTATAGTACATGTCTTCGGCATCCTAATCGCACGCTGGATCACCCCTCCAAACTAACTGGTGTGCTAGCATTTCTGCCACCCACCTAGATCAGCTCCGAATTTTGCTTCGGAAAGGCCTTCAATTACTTTGACTGTCAAACGACATCAACCCAGGGAATCACTGAACTGCTTCAACAGAAGTTGATGTTTGATTACATCATTGACACTACGTGACCCTGATAACATAAGTTGCAAATATTTGAAAAAATTAATGCGATAGCGTGAACTACCATGGGAAATCGTGATGATCTTCTCTATCGCACAAAAATAGCCGAGCAAACTGAACGTTACGATGGTATGCTGTTCAGTTCATACCATATACATATACAGAGATGGTCACTTCTATTCAGAAATTAGTGAAGCTGGGCGTCGAGCTGACTCCTGAGGAAAGGAACCTGTTTTCTCTGGCTCACAAAAACCTTATTGCACCAAAAAGAGCAGCCCTGCGTGTAGTCAATGCAGCAACTGAGAAGGATGAAGCAACTCACTCACCGTTTCTTGTATACGATAAAATGTTCCAAAAGCAAATTGAGACGGAAATGCGGAATATTGCGCATGCCATAATAGGGTTATCTCAAAACACACTCATTAAACCAGACACTCCAGTTGAATCAAAGGTCTTCTACCTGAAATTGTAGGTTGACTGTGTCATTTACTCTAAAACCGAGAAAGGAAAGCGGACTATTTCCGCTACTTGGCAGAGTTCGAAGAAGGAAACGATAAGAACGATGCTGCTGAATACAGCCTAGAAGCTTACAAAGAAGCATACGAACTAGCTTGCACTGTACTGCCACCAACACATCCAATCCGTCTAGGCGTTGCTCTAAATTTTGCAGTATTTTATTACGAAATAATAAATTCAGCTGATCGTGCCTGTAAGCTAGCAAAGCAAGCTTTCGATGATGCCATCGCGGAACTGGATAACATTTCCGAAGAGAGCTATAAAGATTCAACCTTGATAATGCAGCTTTTGCGAGATAATCTGACCTTATGGATAACCGACATGCAGAAACGTAAGTTCTGAAACTTTGTTGCATATCCCCCAATTTAGATGAGAAGAATCCTAGGGAATAGCACCACTACGGCTTCAACGAAATCTGGATCCTCAATTCTGGGAGAAGGCGTGCAATTTTATGTGAATGGTAGTTCCTTTACTTGCGCATGCTGTTAATAAATAAAACTGAACCAATCTTTTTTCGAAACCAGGTCCATTTTTTCACCAAAGCTAGACAAAGTTGAAGCCAAGTCTGTGGCACATCACTGGACCTCAAAAACTCATCCATCAGGTATCCTCCTTCGTTGGTTTCGTGCGAGATTCATGGTCTAGTTTTCTCGGCTCCCGCTCCAGATGAAATGTGGAGATCATGCGATTTCGAAATAGATATCTCGCGTGCGGTGGTGGGAGATCTGTTCACACAGTTGAAAGGCTGAAAAAGGACTCTGAAAATTAAAGTACTTAACCTCCAAGACTGTTGCGGTGATGAACGACGAATCTTGATGGTTCCGAAGACAGTTATGGTAGATAAGAGCTAGTCCACATTCCATGGGTTGGTAGTGCTTACAAGACACCACCATGATTATTTCACATGGAAGCGAATTTGATGGGAAATCAGCACCGTTAAGTGCGAGCTAATGTGCAGGGAGGCTATATCTATGCGTATACACTTATACACCACTGATATTTGACGACTTATGATTCATAAGCTTCAATAATCATACGGTCGACACCTTTTATTACACGTCCATCTCATGTAATGAAATGGGGTTATTGGGCGCCAGAACGCATCACACTGCTTTTCTGTAAATATATATCGACTTGCTTTGGAAGTAATTGAAGAGAACCACGATTTGGCAAGTAAAATTCATAAGGCGATAGAGTGTCCGTATATCTAGTTAATGCCTTTTGTATGGATTGTGACCAAGTTCATCCTGTCCTTTGGTAGGCACCTTGCACTTAAAAAGTGTAAGTTCATGCTCGTGGACGTGCAGTCACTTAACACGCCACTTACAATCCAGAAAGAGGTACTGAAAGTTGTGGAGCATTTTACGTATCTTGAAAGTTGTACTAGCTCTGATTGTAGTGTGACGGATAAGGTGAATGCGCGAATCTGCACGGCTCGGGCCGCGTTTGCTAATTTGAGACACCTATGGCGTCAGAATGGTTTATCCCTGAGTCTGAAGGGACGTGTGTATCAAGCTACGGTACGGGCTGTTTTGTTGTATGGGTGAGACTTGGCTTATTAGAGCAGCGGAACTAAGGAGTCTTAAGGTTTTCGACAATCATTGTCTCAGAACCGTGGCTCATGTGGGTTGGTGTCGGCGAATCCGTAACGAGGCGGTTAGAAAGCGTGTTTTCGGTTGTGCACCGGGTATTTCCATTGAAGAATGTGTCCAGCACCATAAGCTGCGTTGGTTGGGACATGTGTTACGTATGCCGAACCATCGTTTGCCGAATAGAGAGCTGTTTTCCACGCCCAATCCAGAGTGGCGTACACAGAAAGGTTACCAACCCTTGACTTGGCAGAGGAGTATGAAGATCACGAAAAGCTTGGGTGCTGTCGGTGCTACTCGCCTTCTAGGATGGGGACCGCGTGATCCTCACTGTGCCTGGTTGGAGACGCTAAAGATATGGCTGCCAACCGATGTCAGTGGCGTTCTTGTTGTCAGTTTCTGTCCAGATTGCCTGAGTGAATGTCTGGAGGTGTAGGCACCTCGGAATTGATTGTGGTAAGCTAGTACTAAGTCCCTTCCAGATCCACCTTTACTCTTTTCTTTGTAATGAGGCTTTCAGATAAATCATGGTTGTATGGCAGTGAACACTGATGTCATGCTGTCGATGATGATGATGATGTGAGTATAAATGCACCAAGACGGGAAAACATTTACAAATTTGTGCTTCAAAACTGCATGCTAATTTTGCTCCTTAGTATTCATGAGAAATTCTATCTATAAACTATCGTTGAATGCCTATAGAGCACATTCCCAATTTTGTGACTTCCTATAATACGTCTCTCTTTAGAAGATCTTGTATTTGTGCACTGCATTTGAGGTGTTAGAAAACTACGTACACCATAATGCTACTATTTATAATTTTGAGTCGAAACAAAAAATAGTGTCGATATTCTTGCATCCAAAATTCAGTCTTACCGGTCGTACGGGTTTTCTCGGCGCCAGCGCACTATCAAACAAGTCGTTCTGCTGGGTGCTCTGATCAGATGGCCTTCGAGTTTAACTATAATGTATCCAAGCTGACTGGATTTGAAAGGTGTCCTCGAAGTGTATTGCAGGTAGCCGCTATTGTCACACCCCCACATCAGTAATAAAACCAACAGTTATCACAGGATTTGATCAGTCTTCCACTTACCTACGTTTTGGAAACAATGGAAGAAGGCAGTGATAACCCTCAAACTGCCGAATACCTGCCCAAAACTACCACCAAATTTGGTCACAGTCATCTTATTTACGGAGCGTTCCTTGTTAGCGATCCATTACGACGGTGTAGAATTGCGACAAATTAAATCAGCACGAACTAGATGAGAAAAAACTAATCTTCATGCATTTCGAACATCAATATTGACAGTGTACGTTAAAAGAGCTAGTTTTTAACGACACTGCTGAAGACCTCCAGAATATTGACACGGGGAGCAGACTAATGTTGTGCGATTGGGGTAAGAAACATTCAGCATTGAGTAGTTGTGGATAATCTCACATTTCAGCCCGATAGTTGGCCGTTTATGAGCAGTAATACTCAGGTAATCACACCTATTCACGCATTATAAGTTGTGACTACTGACTGGTCAAAAGCACGGCCCAATTGGGAAAAGGGGACCTGATAATCAGGAGGAATCTTTCTACTCATATTACGTAATCACGCGCAGCCTTACGAAGCTAGGAGCTACATTGCCGAGACATTTAAATGAAAAGAAGCGGAATCAAAGTCACTGAATTTCACTAGGGCACATCCAAACTTGCATCCACGGAAACAATATTCATTTTCCGAAGTCAGCCCAACATTTTCACACTAGGTCACAAAAACCAAAAGCATACTTCGAGAAGACATCACCTGATTGACTTAGCAGTTTTTCGGCCTCACTGCAGACATCAAGGTAGGTTTGAGTTATGTGAGTTGAGGATTCTACCGAACCAGCAGTGTATTGAGAAAGTATGTGGGATGTGTGAAAGCCATAACTGCACCCTGTCGAAGTGTGGAAAATTAACGGATTTTGAGGTTAAGGTTAGCAAGTATTCTGTGAAAATCGCACAGGAACCTGAGGTGAATGATCCTCAACGTATGGCTGGTGGACCATCGGAATATTGAAAACAAACTAACTCCCACAATCGAAAAACTGGCTCGAACGTGTTCACCGACTTTCATCATCACAGGTGAAACGTGGGCGATGGTCACGTGGGATTGCTGGATGAAAGTGATCGTTTCGCCCAGCATTCATTGAGCTATTCCACTGAGCAGATAAAGTAATTCAAGGTGGGATGGCTCAGTGGTTAGAGTGCGAACTTGATGACCGGAAGATCAGTGGTGTGAACCAGACCTCTGAATCTTAGCTTCCCCTGCATAAGCTTGGACAACCTTGAATTATAATAGGCCTCGTGCTTCCTTCGGGTGGCACGGCAGCAAGACATCAACAGGATGTTATAGCTGAACGATTTATTTATTCAATTGTATTGCCGAACAATACCGTTGGCTTCTAATCTAGCGTAAGAACGTTACTGTGTCGAAAAAAAGTATAGCTCCTAAGTGATCTCAAATAAACCTCACAGCCAATCATCATCACCACTAAGAGACAGCAGCATCAATTTTGACACTGATGCTTCACTGCTGAATAGCAATAAGCTGCATCCAAACATATTTAAAACGTTAGAGTGAGAATAAGACAAAAACAGGAAGTGAAGGAGAGGACCTGGTACTAGCCCAGCATGTGCATTAGGAGCTATCTACACTATAATTATAATAGCCTCGTGCTTCCTTCGGGTGGCACGGCAGCAAGACATCAACAGGATGTTATAGCTGAACGATTTATTTATTCAATTGTATTGCCGAACAATACCGTTGGCTTCTAATCTAGCGTAAGAACGTTACTGTGTCGAAAAAAAGTATAGCTCCTAAGTGATCTCAAATAAACCTCACAGCCAATCATCATCACCACTAAGAGACAGCAGCATCAATTTTGACACTGATGCTTCACTGCTGAATAGCAATAAGCTGCATCCAAACATATTTAAAACGTTAGAGTGAGAATAAGACAAAAACAGGAAGTGAAGGAGAGGACCTGGTACTAGCCCAGCATGTGCATTAGGAGCTATCTACACTATCAAGCCTCCAATTAGACAATCTGGAAACTCGCAGCACGAGCGTCACTGAAATCAATTAAGCGCAATTTCTTGCAATGTCTCCAAGCACAGTAAGGTTAGCGGAAACCACACCCTGGAAGCCGTACCGCACTAAAAACATGCTAATTCTTCACCCTTCTGTCAGTTAATACGTTGTCCACCTTGCGGTTTTCAGCACTCCGAAGGACGCGCAGAGAAAAACACTCGTTCCAGTCGACGGTGTTCCGGCACGCGTAGCACATGACCGAGCCACCGTAGTTGAAGGGGCTGGATGTTTTCCGCGACTGAAGTACCTGCAGCATAACCAAATACCAGCTCTCTAATTACCTCATTACGAATTCCTTGACGCCATCTGGCACCAGCCACACACCTAAGACATTGGTTTTCAAAAGCCTGAAGACGTCCCCCACAACAATCGTTCGCAGAAGGCATCTTTTGCAACCATATCAACAATACAGCTCTTATTGTAGCCTTGGAGACCTTCAAGACCAAGTGATATGCCTTTTTGACACCACAAGCGACGCCGATAAGCAAACATGACCCCGGCCTCTGAGATTCTTGAGCTGACTTCATCACACATACTTCCATCAGAGCTGATACAGCTGTTGAACTGTGCGAAATTTCCCACAACCTTCAGTGCTTCTGCTTGAATTGCAAAGGGCACGTTCAGAGACCGCACCCTCCGGAGCAAGCCTTCGCACCGTGAAAGAGCAGGGAGCACGTCAAAAGATGGCATGAAGGCGGTCAGTTTATTCAACACGGTTTGCGCTTCGTCTCCATGGATAAGGACGATATCTACTGTATACTCCAGATCGACGAAGTTCTCACCAGAAAACAAGGATACCCCATTCTCATCTAGTGATACCATCGGTTTTTTATAGCTGCAAATACAAACTTGGGACTTTTTGATGCCGATAGAGAGAGATGCGCGTAAAGCAATCTTCATAAAACGACAGGCTGTTGCTGGTGCTGCCAACCTCCGAAAGGGAACTTCAAAACGAGACATGTCAGTTGTCATGGAAGCCAGTTGCTACGGCTCGGTCATGCATCGTGAGTTCTATTGCATCAAAGCTACTAACTCAGGGGTAAACTACCCCTTACGTTAACCATAAGAGCGATGAAACACATGTCTTCGATCTTACGTGTCAAATAGTGTGCAGCTGGGACGAAAATATCCCTTGTACATGACGTAAGTTGATGACACAAAGGAAATTAGACCACATAACGGACAGGTACTTCTTAAGCTGATACCCAGGTACGAAAGGCCAGCTAGAGTAAAGAGCCCAATAGGGATATCGAAGAAACAAGGGTAAACTTCATGATCCTAATGGATTGATTTTCAGTAAATGTGATCATGTCAACACTAAAAACATCAACAGAAGCGGAAAATAAACAGGAAAATATTTGAGAAATGCAAGTTACCCACTGACTGAGGTTGATGTATACACAAAATGCAAATTACGTCAGTAGAACTATAAGCAAACGTGTGCTGACAATTACAGAAGCCCGCAGTCTTTCAAATTGGTCTTGATAATGACATCAGTGACCGCATCAAAAACAAACTGGATATTGTTTGTATCTGTGGCACAGGTAAAATGGGAGTACACATCTTTCGCCTTATTTTGTCCACTCAAACCTTCGAAACGACGTCTGATGTATTGCGAGGCTTCTTCGTAATTGTTCAGGCCTGGAAAGGAAATCGCATAGACACCCAACATGGTCTGGCATCAACAGAGAGGAGTACCGTAAAATAACAAAAAGTCAAAGCACAAGTATCACAGTTGAATAAATCAAGAACACAAAAGCTGGAGGTAACGTTTCGACTGTAACCTGTAGCTGAATACGAAGACAAGATTCACATGCCATTTTGCAAAACGGCGCCTCATGAAAACTATCTGATGGTTTCCAAAGTATAGTAGAATACCATTAGAAATAACATTTCATTCAGGCGAGTCCATGGGAGTGCAGTTCAATTTGGACAGATATATTATTGAGCAATGAAGTCAATTGGAACCACCGAAAAAATTCTCCCGTTATGACGAACAGAATTTGTTTCTATCAAGTCGGGAAGGTTACCGACGTAGCTGGATACCTCGTCTTCCTTAGAAATGTTCCTCATGACATCATAAAGAGTGCGACGTACAATAAGGCGACTGTTGTGTTAACTGGTAGCAGACTCAGAGGATTATATGCCATAGATAATGTTGAAGTAACGACTGAACACAAATTAAGCATATCCTCAGTCTAACTGTACATCAGAAGTTGCGGAAGTGGTTACACATATGATCGGGTAATAATACTAAAAAGCTTTAAACTCGAAAGAAAATGATGGACTTATCCAAAAGCGTATACTATGGGGAGGTTTACTCCATAGGGATAAGCCGACTGGAGACTAAAACCACGGTACCCTAGAGGATCTATCTCCCAAGCACATACTGGTTTTACGGCAATTTAACGAGATAAAATAACCAGTTCAAGCCCTTGAAACTGATGATACTATCCAGGGATGCTGTAACTGACTTTTGATAAGCGGGTGTATGGCACTCTTCTTACGAACGCCACTGGCCGACTTACATGGAAAGAGTTATTACATGTTGGAGCTGAGTATTCCTTAGGACTCGTGGTCGTAGACGATAACATCATGTTCTGCCGATTTGAGTATTAGGCACTGTTAATCCTACATAAATCGAATCGATATAAATCCGATATAAATAACAAAAGCCGGTAGGTCCTTTAGGAAGATACTCCATTTACCACTTATTATTAACAACTGATAAACAGCGGAATCGTCTGCAAGCACACTGGGAGCACAACTTAAGCAATGTAGTAGTAACGGCCGATGATAATGAAAACAAATTTCACCGTACCACAATACGCTCCGAAAACCCGAACCGATAGTCGTCAGACCACTAAGTTTATAATTTTCTTATTCATCCATGGCTTCGGGGATACTCAAACTGGTTGAATGCAAACAAAGGAGCACCCACCCACACACACCATCAACTGTTTGTAACTAAACTCTGGAAGAATAAGAAGTCCAAAGATCGACCGCAAGCAATGCAATCAAGACAGAGCACAGACTTGGAATGAGCTCTTAAACTTAGAACACAAGGCAGCTAAACATACTGGTTGAAAGTTCGTTAGAATAAATAGGTAATAGGAATAAATAGATAAATAGTGAAGAATTGGGACACCCTTAAAAATCTGTTAGCCCGTCCGTCGTCAAAGGAAAACGGTGAAATTCGTGCACACGCTGACTAATCAGCTGGACTCAATGCCGTGAAAGATTCACATCAATATCTATTACCGGTCTCATAGTTATTTTCGAAAACTGACCGTGCTTATGCTTGCATCCAAAGAGAAGTCGCAGACGATTCCAAATCAATACATGTCACCGTTTACCTGTGAACCGTTTTCCATTTGGTGTAGCCAGTACTAGCCATATTCCAGTAAATAAGAGATATAAGTATGACCGGCTTCAGTGGAGGTCGTTTTTTACACCAAAAAGTATTCTAAAAAACTGTATGAGCGTCACTTCACTCTCGTCACCAACCACGAAGATAAAAAGAAAATGGCGCCACCAGCCGTTTGTACCACTGGGCAACCATGCATTCAGGTTATGGTCATTCCATCAAATTGACATGTCATCAAGAATGGTAGCTTCTCATTGAACGAAACCTGAAGACAGTCAGCGCATCCGCTAAAGTGGAACCGAAAGTCCACATCGTGTTAAGTGCTGCAATTCGAGCAATTCCAGTCACTTCTCTCACGCTTCATGACGCTACAATCCGTAACTTCTTGCTTCAGAAGGGGGTCCATCTCTACCAGCACGCTGACCACCAACATGTCCCAACAACTAACACCAACCGTGCCATTAGACAACACAGGGTCCTTGAACGGTTCTAATTCGGACATCCCGGATTTCATCGTATGATAGCCTAGGTACGTCTCCAGGCCCAGTGTGGACAAACAGCTGCAGGAACTTGTTCACACGCGTCCCAAAAGCCAAAGGTCGTCAAAGTCCCTTGGGAAAACAGAACTACTCTATTGGTATGTGTCAGAAACCCAGTGGTCACGACTTCATGCTGAGTTTCGGGATCGGATCAGTGGGCTTTAACTTTTAGCAGAAGCTTATAGCAAATGGCTGAAAGTATTTCTCATGGAGCGCACTCCTGTATCTAGATGCGCCATGCCAACCAAGCTGCGATTTCCCCTCCACCTACGGTTTATTTACGTGATCGGGTTCTGCTACCCGATGTTCCCTTAGACACTTTTGAACTCCGATCGAGAGCTGAATCCTCTGACACAGGTGCTGTTCGAGATGCCCCAACTGTTCGAACACCCAAAAGGCGGACTGATCGCATTCGAATCCAGGTCAAAATGACTGCAGGTCTACGACAGCTCACTTCAAAAGTGTGTCGGTAGGGGTGCCTTCAGAAGGACATTTCCATTTTGATACTGTTTATAATTAAACCCTTCTTATTTGGACGTCCTTTGTTGATCCAGCTGTTTATCTGTACCAGTATATCAAGGCCGTTTGTCTTCTTAATTGCGTGTTGGCTGACCTACAGACAGAATCTAGAGGTGCTGTAGCTCGGATGTATAAAATACCGACTGGTCATTTTGTTTGAAAAATTCATGTGCAGTTCTTTGTCCAACTTCATTTCGTGACATATGTGTGTGCAATAGAGTTATCTGACATAGTTGTTCCTACTGCATTGTTGAAACTGACCATCGAATCAGGAAGTTTTAAATTCGATGCAAGTGAGCTGCATTTGTAGGAGCAGGCATCTACACGACTGTTTGCAACCGGATTTGAATAGTCCTAAGCGAAAACTAAACCGTTCAGTAGGGACCCATTGTTGCTCATCGTTGCTCAGTGGCCCGAACGGAGGACTTTGGATCAAACCGCCGAGAAAACCCATAAGACCAACAGTGAGCTGAACGACAGCACACAGGACGTAGGTATTACAATACTTACCCATATACTCAGGAAAACATATTGTGAGGGGCGACTTGGTGATTTTGTCCTCGAACAGATCCCGTTTATTCAGAAACAAAATAATACTAGTTTCCACAAACCATTGGTTGTTGCAAATCGAACTAAACAACCGCATCGATTCCAACATTCGATTCTATGCAAGGAAAACAGAGGGAACAGGTATGAGCAATACAGTGGTATACTGGATTGAAGCAGTATAAGGAAATCAAGAAGACCAGCAAACATCAAAATTAGGGTAGCTGAGGATATGCAAGTACGTTTTAAAATCACTATTTGACGAGGAAAAAATATCAATATATTTTAAGTGCACTTGGATTCGAGCTGACGTGTGGACGGTAGTCTCTGGACATTATTTTATTCGTCTGAAATGGGCGCTGCCTCTAATATTTGTGTGACGTGTTATGGTGAGGATTACGCATATTGTATAACAATAATATATTACATATGATAGGTACAGTAAGTATGCACAACATACGGGCATATGCCAAAGGCAAGTTTGCTCAGACTTCTAATCCACACTTGATCGACTCTACTGTCATACTACGAGATGATAACACTACTAGTTGTCCGACTGATAATTTATCGCCTGGCTATCTGTCCTCAACTAAATGGCGCGCTAATGGAAAGGTCCCGAAAGCGCCGCAGCGATAACTTAGATAATATTCCCTTGATACTTGGACGAATCGGAGGATGGCGCCAGCAACTTGGTGGAGAATAAATAGTGTCCACTGTTACGCCATCACATCGGTAACCAACAACAGGCCTTCGTATGTCTGTCCATCGATAGTGAACCTCTGGNAGTGAGCCTCTGTGTATATATATATATATATATATATATATATGCGTCGCCTCAAAAGAGTTCCTCCCAAATATTACTCTGGTCTCCCGAGATCTATCTTGAAACCGACTTTTTTGACAGACAACCCTACACACAATAAATAGCATTCTGAGTGTCTCCAATGTATTATCCCTCCTAAAAAAGATCAGGGTGCATAATTCAAGTTGCGGTTTTCACTGCATTAAGGAACTTTACCGTAATACACAAACTGATTCCAAACGTGGTTGGAGTTTCCAGACATTAGTTTCGGATATATGAACTTCAAATATCACAGTAATCCATTAAAAGTAGGCCCTTCAAGCAGACGGTACTGCCCTAAGGACGGTATAGTGGCGTCCCACGTCATCCATGGACCAGTACATACACATACACCAAAGTAAATATCGGTCGTCTACTAGGATGTGAACAACTGATGTACACAGCAACGAAATGCTGAACCCAGCATGACAAACTCAGCAAAGTTCCGAGATCAACTAAGTAAAACACTTGTTCTATTGATAGTGGGATTTCTGCACATTTGTGTAAACCACTGGTTCGCGAAATTTTCAGATCACTGCACCTTGGCGCACATCGCATAATACGCGAAAAGCAGAACCGGAGACGTTAGAATAACATCTTTGTCATCCCAAAGAGGACGGCGACCAATCCCCTGGGAAGATAAGAAGCATCACTTCCAAATAATTACTAAAGCACGATTCTTCCGAAGATCATTCTCCCAAGAGCTTCTTCACTTCGTCCCAAAACAGCATCCCGTACCTCAAATGGATTGGATACGGCCTACCAAGGATGGGTATAAACTCATAGTCTTAATGCTCCAAGCCCTATTGATGGGGTAGTTCTGCTTGTGTTGACGCTGGAATTCAACTCAGGAATTTCGAACTTTAGACACGAGCGCACCTTGAATTTCGCAGTGAGCAGAAAGGTGATAAGGGCGGAAGAAATAGTCCCTAGCGCTGAATCTGTGTTTCAAAAACTTCCGTCAATCGAGGCAGAGAGGCTATGGGTACAGCTGGTCACAGTCCTGAAGCCCCAGCAGCCAGGAGCTCCAAATATTACACCAACAGAAGGTAGAGCTTTAAACACCCTAAAACGGGTGGACAACATAGTGATTACAAAGGCAGATAAGGGGAAGGCCACCGTTGTTATGAACAAGAGTGATTATTTACAGAAGGTTAAGCAACACCTAGCTGAGGGTCCTTATCGGGAGATCAACAATGCGAATATTAGGTCAAATGAATAGGAGTAAAACCAAAGTTGGGAGATATTTGCGGTCAGTGATAAACTACTTAGGGCAAGGCAACTGGTATCGATTGTACCCAAAAAGTGCAATCCAACCACGGCTTTATGGCCCCCCAAAAATCCATAAACCAGAGGTTCCGGTGAGACCTATAGTAGACGGAATAGGTTCCCCACCGCATGAACTGGCCAGATTCCTGGCTGGTATTTTAAAGCCCCTCACCAGGAAATCTAGCACTTACATTAAAAATTCATATGACTTGGCCAACAAAGTAGCGGGTGTCACTGTTGAACCAGATGACATCCTTGTAAGTTTCGATGTGAATTCGTTATATACAAATGTGCCAAAAGGGGATTCTTTAGAAATAGCCGAGCGACTGTCAGAACGGACACAGCTTACGGCAGATGAAATAGTGGAAGGCATGAAATCATGTCTGAATCTCACCTACTTCGTCTTTGACTTAGTGGTTTATACTCAAGAACAAGGTCAACCAATGGGATCTCCAATATCCCCGGTTTTGGCAAATATATTCATGGAAGAATTTGAACAGATATCCTTAGCCGGATTCCCATACCCACCAAAGATATTCGGAAGGTATGTAGATGACACTTTCGTCGTCATGAAACGGGGCAAGGTTAATGATTTTTACAACGATCTCAATGAACTGAGTCCACAGATCAAATTTAGTATGGAGATGGAGTCAACGTCGAGTAAACTGGCCTTCCTAGACTGCATGACACAGAAGGTTGGAGGGAGACTAAAGACCACGGTGTATAAGAAGCCAACCGACACTGGGGCAGTTTCGAACTACTCATCTGCCCATGCGAAGTCGGTATTCGCCAGTATTGCCTCATCAATGTTTGGGCGTGTAAGGGCCCTGTGCACAGAAGAAGCTGATCGGATAGCATCCCAAATTGAGGTAAAGAACAAACTTCGGGGTAGTGGATATCTAGCCAGCTTGATTAGGCGTCAATTGTGAAGGGTGTTGGTACCGGTAGCGAAACCCAACAGGGAATGGATCGGGACAGCTGTTATTCCATATAAACCATGGGCATCGGAGGTCATTCGAGGAATTCTAAGAACGGTCAACATTAGAGTAGCTTTCCAGAGGGGGAGCACTCTGCGCTCTGCACTGGTGCAATTGAAGGATCGCCTCCCGGCAAACAGAACCAGGAACTGTCTACAAAATCAAGTGTAATGACTGCGCCAAGGTCTATATAGGACAGACGGCCGGGGAACTACACAGCAGAGTCGGAGAGCATAGTAAAATAATAAACAGGCTACCAAGAAACGCAGATGAATATCAGGCGCTACTGAAAGACTCGGCGATTGCGGAACACGCACTCGGCACGGAACACAAAATAGATTTAGAAAATGTTGAGGTTTTGAGGCGAGGACTACGGTCCACATCACATAGACTGATCGCCGGGCGGTAGAAATCGCCAAGCATCCCAATGTTAACAGAATAGGTGTGGAACTGGCAAGCGTGTAGAGAACGGTTCTGGATCAGTCAAGCTGACACGTGTTGGTGTGCGGTCATCAGAAGGAAGAGTGGTTATCACCTGGATTCCACTTGACCTCAAGCCCTCAAACTAAATTGTCGGAGCACTGAAGACCTCACAAAAACCAGGGAAAATCTACCAGTGGCAACCGAGGTGAATCATCAACTGAAGCACCCTGAAGTGGAAGATTAACGAACCAAACCCGATCAGAATTAATTCCCCCCCCCCTAATCCGCCAAAGCAAGANCCCGCCTGCCCTATAACCTGGCCAATTAGGTGACCTGCTCCCTTGGCCTGATGAAGCTTTTGAGTCAAAAGCGAAACGTTACCCAAATAAAAACTACCCATTGTTTACCAAGCTCTTCTGAAACGTGGCAATGTCGTTCCAGTATGAATTGACATTTGACGATGGGACAGGTGGAAGTGAGTCCAGAAGACGGTTCTGATAATTTAGGGACCTGCCGGCACCTCGGCTACTAAGCTATTAATCTGCCTCTTGTGTGGCTCTGGAAAGCGAGGAATCGATCTAATACGGCTGCGCATCAGCCTACTGCGCAGTGGAACAATCATGTGGAACAGAGCCGTGCGATTATGCCCCCACGTCGGAATGACGTCCGATTTCGTCATGTGCCGGAGAAAGGTCAAATAAGGACACAGAATGTTCACACCCACTCCATGGCCAAGGCATCCCGTACACAAGCGCACAGACGGCCATCTACGATCGATCGAGACAAAGGAACAACCGCCCGAGGACCAGTGTGGATGTGTGGGAGACACACTGGTTGGTTGACAGCGGATCGACCGTCAAATACGGTGACAAGTGAATCATATATATAGAAGTTTGTAATTGCGTTAATACACAGTTCCTTCAGGTCGTCTTCTTGTCTTCTGACTATAACCCAGTAGCGTCAGGGCAGGTGAAGAGATACAACA